ATTTTCAAAGCCATTTCCCAAAAATATATGTCAAAAAAGATTTGTATAATTCTGCTAGATGAAACACAGAAAACGTCAAGGCCAAATTAAGACTCAAACTCACCCCAGAGTGGACGAAAACATCCCTAAAAGAACAGAAGGGTTGAGCTACCCCTGAGCACTTTTTGTTTGATTTTGGACTTTATTTAAATGTTCAAAAGAAAGACGAGCGACTGAAGAAAACAATGGCCAGGAGAAAGCCAGAGGCTAAGTGGGCAACCAGTGTCCAAAACAGCAGGCAAGCGAGAGAAGTCAAACAGGCGGACTTCGATCAGGAGATAGATAATGCAGAGGAGGACAGACAAGCTCTGACCCTGTCCTACACAGGCGGTGTCGAAGATAGTAAGTGGCTGGCCAAGGGGAATTCAAGGAGGGAAAAAAAGGTAAAACTGGGCAGAGTAAAAAACAGAGTCAAAAAAGTGCCAAAAATAAATGAGCATGACTTGACAGAACAAGAATGATGTATAAAAAAAGGGAATCTCCATCACAGTCAGCCATGTTTGCCAGAGCTCCCACGGGTCTTTAAAAAGTATTACATTTGATTTTTTAAATTTAAGGTTATAAAAAGTCCTAAAAGGTCATATCTTTTACTCATGAGAGATCTTAAATTTCACTTGATAGTGTGACCTTGATACGTTACTGAATTTTAACAAATATATATAGCTTTGTAGACATGCATGCACTTTCAGACATACACTTTCTGGAACAGCTATGCCTAACACAACACCGTCCCTAACTCTACCCTTTACAATGACATCACATGTGCAATTGTCTGTGAGGGCAAACTCACACTATGCTATCTGAACCATGCCCAGGCCCATTTCCCGGATCGTTTGAGAAGTGTGAGTGCTCTGAATCGCATCAGGCACGGTTCACTTGGCTGGCCCTGGTATGGTTGGAAGAGGTGTTCCAGAGCGCGGTTTACTTGGGCTTTGACAAGGTACACTTGTAGTGTGAGTGTAAAGCGTGCCTGAGCCAGAAACTGAAAGCGAGATGTGACTTTTACGGGATTGTTTCAATGGATTTATTAATCCCTCTTACTGTTTAATGAATGCAAACTGTCGTAGTTTATTAAAGACGCAAACCCCTCACTGCATGACAGCTGAACCTTTAGCAAACCTCATAATTCCTGCAGCACGATAACTTTATGGTTGTTTATGAGCGTCAAAAGTGGCTGATCCCTTCGGCGCAATATTTGACTGCGTGTCACCGCATACCAAACGACTAAAACAATATAACTAAAGAAATTTCAACTGTGCTGAGCAAAAAAGCACTTATTAAACAACGCATCATCGATGACGTAAGCGTACCCAGGCCCAAATGTAATGTAAGTGCTGGCCACCGGAGGAGATGGGAGGGGGGACAAATGTGCATCGGCCCGGTTTAAGACAACTGTACATAGTATGAGTACGCCCTGAGAATTGGTTAATCTGGCAGTAGGCAGGTTATAAAGACTACATAAAGGCAGACATCCTAAAAGCACCATTTCAAAGGGGGTTAGCATTGTTTTTTTTTTAGATAAACAATGATGTTCACTTACTGTAGCATGTTTCTTAATTATCTGCAAACATGTTATGGTATTTTTATGAATGAGCTCTCAAACTCAATTCCTAGAGGGCAGCACTAGTGTCTAGAAATCTTGAACACCTTGATTAGTTGGATCAGCAGAGTTTGATTAGGGTTGGAGCAAAACTGTACAGAGCTGCAGCCCTGCAGGAATTGAGTTTGAGACCTACACTGTACAACCCAACAGTCAACTTAATCAAATGCAATTGGTTTCCTCAAAAAGTTTGAGTTACCTTAACTTTTGGGGTTTTACAGTGTATACACAAAAGGAAAAAGTAGATCGTTTTTGGACAACTTTGATGAAAGTTTTTGATCCACTTCAAATGTTGGCTATTGTATATTATTTCACATGCATTATACTGTATATTTACTTTATTTAAAATAATATTCCCAACATGTTATATATTTATTACACTAAATATACTATGTAAATATTTTGATAAGTTTTCATAATATTTTAAAAATAGTGAAAATCAATAGACCTATAAGTCCAATATTAAAACATCAATGTGACAAAAGAATAAAATAAAAAAATAACATTGTATTTTTAATATACTATTTAAATATGTTTAGTTTATATTGCACAACCCACATTTATTTTATTTTAATATTTATATACACATATTTAAGCTATCATTACACATTTTATTTTGTATAAAAATATATAATGACTGTAATTAGAGCTATATATTTATCAACTCTGATTTAAAAAGCATACATTGCGGGAACTTCCCCCAGGCTATCCTATGGTAGAGAACTGCAAAGAAATGTTATAAGCTATCGGTATGTGTTTGAGACCATACGCAATAAATCAAAGCACTGAACAGAGCAGTAAATTTGTAGCACTGGTGACTTGTACTTTCCTTGACAAACAGTCCTCTCATATTCATGCCTTCGTCTACTGCGGCATGAGGAAAATCATGTCACCACATCCAGACATCTGCACGTTATAAAGTGCTAAGCAGAGCGCAGTTAAAAAGACTGTGACAACACACCCCAACCAATGAACTGGAGTGCAGTCAGGTGGCAATCACAGTCCTGTTTGTCCTAATTAAGAAATTTCCCTGATGAAAGCGTCTTTCTCTTTGTTACAAATCACCTCAGGGATGCTTATTCACATCGCAAACAGAACATCTGACTTCCAGCAACTGCTGAGCTGCGGCCCTTGCTGTGATTGCCGTTACTTGAGCCAGGAAAAAGATGTGCAATTGCCAATTACAGGGCAGAGGGGGTTATGCTGCACACTGGTGGAAACAATCCTGAAGCAGATGTGAGGAGCGGATGGTGAATGGTGCAAAACAGCTGCTGCCCAGCCATCTCTTGTCAGTTTAGATGTAAAACAATTTAAAGTCACGTGCCCTTGTTTTATTAAACCCAACTACAAGCCGTGTATCAGCAGGTGACACTTCAGGGCAAGAGAGTGGTGAATATGATGCTGTAGAGTGTGTTTATTGTAATAAGTCAGAGGAACGCAGTTTCAGAATGACAGTCAAATTGCACAGGCAGGGATTTTCATGTAATATATGCATTACTGGTACAGTAGTTTAATATATGGGTGAAAGATGGCACATCCCACTGTCTGCATCAAATTTAATTCACAAAAATTATTTTATATAAACAGAAAATAAATGTTTCATATTAGTTTTGTAAACATAAAATATATGCGTCCCATCAGTGACGATATACAGCCGTATCACACTGCTACGAGTGTGATATTGCATTTCAACAGTTTGATGGCATATTCGTGAATAAAAAAAGAAAATCAAACACAGAGAGTCTAAAAGTCCTTTTGTATGAGGAACTATTTTCTTCAGCCATTTATTCACATCTGCAGCTGATGTCAGAACAGCAGAAACCGTTGCTACTTCACAAACGTCACTTTAGAGCTAGTATTTGAATGATTCTCTAGCGTAATGTCTAAAGTCATGACAAAACCGGTGATTTTGCCTTTTTGATTTTGATTTTAAGACTGAACGGCATGAAAGGCTATCAGTCTCTTAGAGGTATCTCCCAGTATTTATTTGTTGCAATCAGAAGATCACAATAATTAACCCCAAAAAAGTCAAAGCAAAGCAAACACTACCAAAAACACTACCAGATTATAGTATAATACAGCACTACAACATACAAAAGAGAGAGATCGACTTAGAAAGTCACTTATCTGTTTGTAATTGATTTTGATTTGGTCAGCTGTAGTTTGAAGTGCTTATTATGCTGTCTCTGTTGCCATCTTGTGGCGGAACGTCAACTGTTTTTGCTCTGCTCAGTATAACAGGCTGATGTATGCCAACATGCTATATGTCCGAAATTATAAATATTTAAAATAGGCACTGTCCTGAACTGCAAAAATTAACTGCATATTTGTAATCTAAACAACTACATTCTTGCCTAAAAAAGCCTCAAATGTTCATTATGTTGCTGTTACAAAGGCTGCAATATTTGTCAATCTATTGTGAGTTTATTGATCTGCTGGCACTCTATGTGGGCGGAGTAATACAGAAGGTTGAGGAGGCTATACAAGTGCTGTAATTGCAGAATATTGCCCGGCTATCAGCCAATCAGATTCGAGTATATATATATATATATTCTTGCTTGCCTGTTCAAAGGCTCTTATACTCAGACCAAGCCTTATTGTTGTTTATAACTTCTAAAGTAACCATTTTAACTAGCTTATTTAATTGGCTGAAAATTTAATATTACAGAAAGTTTCATCATTCAGTGCAATGGTTTTGTCATTCGTTATCATAAAAGATGTTCTATCCACTGCAATGAATTACAGTTTCATGTACAGACAACAATTCTACACTGTAAAAAGAATTTCTTTAAAAACTATGGTAAAAGTCTAATAGGTGTGTTTGCAAGGATTTTAGTAAAAAAATAATGCAATAAACTTTTTATACACAGTAAATGTACAATTAAACTCTACTGTACACAGTAAAAATGCAGGAAATTGTGGGAAACTCGGTTTATAGTTGATCACAGTATATAGTAAGGAAACGTACTGTTAACCTGGTAACATATTTAATGTAGCAGTTTTTGGCCATTTTACAGTGTAGCATCTTAACTATATGCATTAGCTCGGCAGGTAAAGTCAAAAAATTATATTACTTTTTTTTAACAGTACAGTTGTATTACAATATATTTCCTTGTTTGTTTAAAAATAATCAACATAAAATCATAATTGCATTCCATACTTTACAATTAAGCGGAAAATTATTTTTTTCTTGTACTTTTCTGTTGACTGTGTACTCCAGTTTTCTTTGTTTTATTCATTACTGTATTACAATAAAGCCTAAAATGTTCATTCATAATTCACTTTTGCCATTTAAAAGCATCTTCAGAGTGAAATGTCATTTTCAGCCTTTTAAAAATAGTTATATTCATTTTCTTTGCAGATAAAAATAAGTGTCTGGTCTGGGTGTGGTTGTGGTTGGAGGATGAGGATTCTGTTGTGTCTGCTGTCTCTCAGCTTTCTGGCTCTGAGCAACGCATTGGGTAAGTCTGATCTGATCTGATCTGATCTCATGTCTCCCGTCATCTCATCTCTTTCAAGATCCCATTTGCAAATATACTTAGCAGGTCTCGCTCAGCCCTTCCCCCATTAGCGCAACTTCATTGCCTGTTGTTTTTTTCTTCCAGTATTCCCTCTGCGCTGGCATTTCCTTGTTAAAACATGATTGAAATATACGTTGTCACTTTGATGGTGTCTGGGATGTGTGGTTTTCAGGGTTGTGCATCAGTGGGGGTCTACAAATTCAGTTGAATTATTCATTGTGTTATCTTAGATCAGTGGGCAGAAGGGATTTGATTTACTTGAGAGGTGTTTTTGTCGGCTGAAGTAATCCAGGCCACATTAAACATTGATAAAAATGTGGTTTGTCCATAATGCTATTAACTTTGCAAACGGCACTCCAGTCAAAGTTACTCCGACTCCTAGTCTCCAAGGCATAAAATCTGGTTCACTTCCTAAATTCTGTCTAGGAATCTGACCAAAATGAGCAACCAAGTTTCTTGGCATGATATTTAGGGTGGTTAACATCTGTGGTTCGGTTCATTTGGTCCAGACCAAAAGCAACAAATAGTACATCGTAGCATTTTTCTGCCGTTCTTGAGTCCTTTTCACACTGATTGCTTTGTTCCGAACCAGTTGAAAAGAACCAAAATGCAGTCATGTGACAAAATCCACATCACATATTGGCCAGGTGTTATTGAACGTTTTACCTAAACTGCTTTTTAAATGGTCAGAATTAAGCTGCGGTCACATTAGAGCTTGAGCATGCGATATTCTGTCGTGCGGTGCTGGGAAAAGGGGCGGGATAAACAAGCTTATTAGACATTTTAAAAAGCAAGTGATTGCTCCATGTTTTAAATTTCTGTCCAGGGAGGTCATGTTTTAATTCTCGATTGGTCTCACGCAGTCAAGTTACAAGATTTTATAGGTCAGAGTTCACCAAGCTTGAACTTTGCACCAGAGCAACCTGCGAAACCGCGTTTCCAGTCTGACGCATTCGCGTGCGTTTGAATGGAAGTCTATGGGAAGAAAAGCCCAGTGTGACCGCAGCTATAATGTGCGAGGAAATGCTAATGGAACTCCTGCAAGTAAACAAACCAGCAGACACAAAATGTTGCTTTTTACTATCAAGGGATGACTGCGCTGGCTGATTATATCCTTGCTCATAGAATACTTTATAGTTTGTCTATATCAGTTTAGACAAACTGTAGATTTTGAGAGTGAATCGCGACTGCGGCTGGAAAACAATGCTTTAATGCATTGCCAACTGCAAAGGCGCATCGCAAATCACTTCAGGAGGAGGCGTGAATTAATTTAGCTAAACTGCGACATGGTCATCTTCCGGAAATATTAACAATGATCTCTCTCTGTTTAAAATTGTTGGTAAAGCACTGTCAACAAGTATTTTTTCCCCACATATCATAATGCACAGCGCATTTGACTACGGCAGATGGATTTAGTTTTAGTTCTGATCATGTTCTCACCACAACCTCTTCAAGGAGGTCTCGGTAGGCTTTTTTGGTCTGCTTTTGGTGCGCACTTGAGTGCGATTGTTACATTCACACCTGCCCAAACGAACCACACCATGAGGGAAAATGAACTCTAGTGTGATTCAACAGAACTAAGTAAGGCAGGTTGATTGGAAATGAATGAAAAGTAGGGTTGGGTACTAATACCCTCTACCCAGTCTCATATAATAAATGTGTACCAAATCCAAATGCAGATTTAAAGGTCCCTTGAAGTGTTTGAAATGTGGAGTAGCTCCTCCTACTCCTCCAACTTAAAACAGCCAATAGCGTCTAAATTTTTCATCACAGCTCTGCCAATGAGAGTGGTTAAGCTCAAGTGCATCAAATGAAAAGCAAATGAGAAGCATCTTGAAGTGGGCGGGGCATATCAGATAATAGAGAGCATTTGATTGGTCAAAATTGAAGTTTGAGGTGACATGAGCTGATCGAATTAGGTGGAAGTAACAAACTGCAAGATTTGGATACTTATATTTTACAGTTTCTAAATGTGAACTTTGTCACTGGGAGCACATAAGTTAATAGATTTCCTTTTTTATTTTAATTTTATGGGACATTTAAGTGCCTCATTTTGGTGCCTTTTAAATTGAGCTGTTAAAATCAGGGGTGTAGCAAGTAGAGGATTAGAAACATGCTTCTTTATTTGAAGAAAACAGTAGGCTATGTTTAAATCAGTAATTTGTTAGTAATATAACTGAAATGATGTATGAGAAGATCACATATGTGCTCTGAATCGCTTTTGTACTAATTTGTTTGTCCAGCACTGCTAAAAACAGCATTAACCTCAAATGTGTTGAGTTTACAAGTGCATGTGTGAAAGGAATTATGGATATTCGCTACAAAACAAGCACATTTTAATTGAACATTACTCTTCAGAAATACTGCAAACATTGCATGATAGACTGTGTCTTAGTAGTTACAATGTCAGGCTCGCTTTGAAGCAATAAGGATTCAGGAGCATTCTGCCCAACTTATTGTGAAATGTATTGTATACTCCATAGTTTTCAATGATCTGATGATAGGACAGGACATAATTTTTTTAGCAGATATAACAATTATGGTCATATATCTCCAAAACCATTGCTGGAAGTTTTTTAGCTCTTGGTAGCATACTAAAAATACAGACAAATATGCTGTTAATAATAGTACAACTATTGTTATATTCATAAATTTACTATTTTAACTGACTCTAAACATTTGAACAGCATTGTCCAAACATTGAAAGTATAATATATAATTATACTAAATAAGTATAATAGGAATAAAGATGATAAATTGTTTAAAAACATACATAAACACGATAATTATAATGCTAGTATAGCACTGAGAAAGATATCCATGTGTATCATCGCTGGCATTGAAATAGAATTGGCTGACAAAACAGTTTCAGTTTCTAGTCTAGGACACACAGTAAAAGTATGCAAACATAGAAACTGTGATGAGATGTTGAAAGACTTTGGTGGAAAATTACTTAAGTGGCAGTTTGGAGTTGTTTCTCCCATTACTGGAAGCAGCAACACACCAGTGAATTTGAGTGTAATCTCAGAGCAGAAAAGCTCCCGGGGTGCTGGTTTCTCTTTTCAACTCATCGCTTCCTCTGCCTCTCTCTTGTTACCCCAGATTCCTGTGGGTCTCCACAGCCCGCACACACTCCTTTGAACAAACGCATGAATATATATATATACGCCTATGCACGTAGAGACCCAGTAAAATCTAAATAACAAACATAGTAACTGAAAACAATTGTATTGGGGTCTATTTTAGGATATGTTTTCACCGAAAAACAAGACATGTTTCTTAAAAAATGCATAAGACCAGTCTTGTTTTCAAAGAATGTTTTTTAGATAAAATTGAACACTCATGTGCATTTGGGGGCACGGAAGCGATCCAGACTTATTATTTTCAAAATTCTATTGTTTTTAATAGAATAGTTGCAAAGGAAAAATGCACATTACTTAATCATTCAGAATTTTCCAATTATTTTTAAGAGATAAACTAGTTTTGTTAAATGTTGCACATTTCATGTTTAGGATATTTTGACTGTGGGTATATATAGAAGACTTTAGTAAAATGTTTGTGTCTAATCTAAGTTATTAAAAACAGCTTTTTCTTTACACTAACCGGCCACTTTATTAGGTACACCTTACTAGTACCGGGTTGAACCCCATTTTGTCTTCAGAACTGCCTTAATCCTTCGGGGCATAGATTCCACAAGGTATTGAAAATAATCCTCAGAAATTTTGGTCCATATTGACATGTACAATGTGGTCATAAATGGATGGACATGGTCAGCAACAATGCTCAGGTAGGCTGTAGCATTGGCAGAATGCTGAATTGGTACCAATGGGCTCAAAGTGTGCCAAGAAAATATCCCCCACACCATTACAACATCACCATCAGCCTGAACTATTGATACAGTGCAGGATGGATCCATGCTTTCATGTTGTTGACATCAAACTCTGAACCTACCATCCAAATGTTGTAGCAGAAATCGAGACTCATCAGACCAGTCAGTGTTTTTCCAATCTTCTACTGTCCAATTTGGTGAGCCTGTGTGAATTGTAGCCTCAGTTTCCTGTTCTAATCTAACAAAAGTGGCACCCGGTGTGGCACCCCAGTAGATCAGCAGTTTCTGAATTACTCAGACCAGCCCTTTTGGCACCAACAACCATGCCACGTTCAAAGTCACTTAAATCCCCTTTTTACACACTCTGATGCTTAGTTTGAACTGCAGCAGATCGTCTTGACCATGTCTACATGTCTAAATGCATTGAGTTGCTGCCATGTAATTGACTGATTAGAAATTTGGGTTAACGAGCAGTTAGACAGGTGTACCTAATAAAGTGACCATTGTGAATGTATTTATACTGTAGAAGTGGATTGTGTGTAATTTCAAACAATGTCCATTATTATTGATATTATGTATATTACATTTTATTTTATAAAAATAGGGTAAAAGCCATGAAAATGCCATGAAAACACTTGGTAATATTTAAACTTTAAGAGAGCTAATCATAAACCTCACATGCAGACTTATATTTAGAAAATATAGATTGTTTTTGTGCACTACTTAAATCCATCACCAATTCCATTATAATAAAGTCTCAAACCCACGGCAACTTTTGAAGGCAGAAAAACAAATCTCTGATCACAGATGCACTCCCTGACACAAATGCACATGCTTTCCCAATTTATCCGGACTCATTCTGGAACCGATTCATAATGCATCAGATGCGTGCAGGACTACCTGGAGATTTTACTGTATGCTTTCAAACTCCCTAGTTTCCTCGTTCTGTCAAAATATCTGAGTGCATGCAATTATATCTGACAGCATGTATCCCCCGCTGGCTTTCCCCGGGTGGAGAACACACCCCTGCTCTCTGAGTGTAGATACGCTGGAGATGTTAGGCACACACGACCCCCTGTATCTGTCTGTTTGGCACACTACACCGGCTTTCAAAAGAGGCAGAACAAAAGACCTGAGCTGCACAAGGTGACTGAATATAGATTACACTCAAGAGTAGTGAGTTTACATCCATGCTTAACCTGATTGTGCTTCATGAGCATATCTATTTTCCTTAATTATAGTAAATTCATAAATGACTACAGCTTAAAACAATTTATGATTTATGATTTCCAACATGTAAAGTCATTAATCTGCTTTCTGTAGGTTTATTAAAGTGCTCATGCACAATATATAACAGGAACATGTTCTTACTTCAGATTTAAGCGTATCCAGAAATAGAAAACTTGTATTACTCAAAGAGGAAGAAAAATACAGCAAATTCAGATGATTTCTTGACCCAAAGAATTATTATAAGATATTATGCTATTTATTGTTACAATAAGAATGTGCTCTCAACTTATACAGCAGAAAATGAATCAAAATGCTGCATTTTAAGAGAATAAAATAGAAGATGCAAGTGCCCACTGTTTGAAAGCTAAGACAGGAATTAATATCATATCTTCCATGTAAACGTGTACAAAAATGTTATTAAATTGCTGTTTTATAACTTCAGAAAAATCACTGTAAGTGTTGAGTGTTATGACAGGATGCGACGAGCGTTGAGTGTTATAACACGCAACGAGCTGTGATTAGGGATGAGATAAAATGCTCCAAATCTATAATGTCGGTCCCCTTTTCAAAATAATATTCCCACATACAAAGTATGTATAGTATAATACAAGGCTATATAAGCTTAAAAATAAGGGGAAATTATCATTGTTGTCATCTCAGATGGAAACATTGTAGCCAATCAAACGCTGCCTGGTAATTGTATTAATTGTATTAAATTGTATTTTTAATTTTTTTTTTTGTAAAAAGTCAGAGACTGTGTTTTGCTCGAATTGGCACGTGTTTCACTGGGCTTTTAAACTCAGGATTTAAATGAGAACAAGGGAACAATGGTATTTGAGGCTCACAGTTTGTCATTTCCATGTTCTGAACTCTTATTATTTAGCTATGCCTAGGCATATCCAGATTTTCATTCTATGGCTTTTTAACATTTAAAATTAGCTTTGGTGCACTGCATTAAACTGTGAATGCTTTGTGAAAGTGTACACCTCATTAGGTGTTTAACCTGTTTAGACTCTTTCTGAAAGACATTGTTTGTTACTTTTTTTTGGTAGGTGGGGATGTGTGTGTGTCGGGTCATGACAGTGGGCCGGTGTTTGAAGAGCAGCCATCTAGTCTGATTTACCCAGAGGGGATGCCAGAAGGCAAGGTGACCCTGAGCTGCCAGGCTCGCTCCAGCCCTGCTGCTGTTTACCGGTACTCACATCACATTTTTGTCATTTACACGTGAACGAACAAAACACGACCTTTACTTGCTTTGTATGACTCATAGTTAAACAAAAACCAACATATTTTACTAAATAGCATATTAAAATTAAATATTTTATGTGTTTGAAGTATCTGTTTAATAAAGCTGCTTTACAAAATTAGTAAAATATTCAAATATGTCAAATATTAATCCAATTTCAGTTAATTTCTGTTTTAATACATTTTTAAATAAAGTTTTGGTTTGTGATGGCTAAACTGAACTTTACAGTCTACATTGTGTCACATGATCCCTCAGAAAACTGGTTCTCAAATTTAAATAAATATATGGTTATTATTATTATTATTATTATTATTATTATTATTATTATTAGTGGTGTAACAGATAACAAATCTCATGGTTCGGATCACATAGTGTTTTTTTAGTCAAGGATTGGACCATAGTATGGATCAGCCAAAAAGGGAGGAGACAAATGTAATTTGTTTTCCTTTTATTACAAAAACAGCCCTGCAAGAAACTTTTAGTTTTAACAAGCAGAACTGAGAACCTGTAATTTTATTAAAAATAAAATGAAGAAATAATCAGCTGAGTAAAATAAATATAAAAATATTCAGTACTGTGAAAATGACTACTACTGTTGCTGATAATGCTAAACTTAATAATCTAACATTATAATTTGTACAATCATTGCTAGATGTATAATTTTTGAAGAATTATTCAGTGGCATCTTTTTGAAGGCTGGGTAAATAATGTAATTGCTGCCTTCAACTTTCATTTTTGAGCATCAAGTTAAATGCATATGACGGTGATCATAAACATCAGTGGTTTTATTCATTCATTCATTTTCTTGTCGGCTTAGTCCCTTTATTAATCTGGGGTCGCCACAGCGGAATGAACCACCAACTTATCCAGCACATTTTTATGCAACGGATTCCTTTTCAGACGCAACCCATCTCTGGGAAACATCAATAAACACTCATTAACACACACTCATACACTACGAACAATTTAGCCTACCTAGTTCACCTGTACCGCATGTCATGATCGAACCAGCAACCCAGCAACCTTCTTGCTGTGAGGCAACAGCACTGCCTAACGGTAATCCAAGTGCTTCTGTGTTTATTTGACTGTTTGTAACTTCATAACTAGCTCAAATGACTAAAGACTGAATTTCTTTCTTAATCTTTGCATTTTTCAAACACAGATTTGAATGCAGTGATTTGAAGGATTAGTAAACTTATGCAAATCATCTTCATTTATAATTTATGTTGTGTGGGTGTTGAGATCCTGAACTTTTAAGGATTAATTGTGCATCTTACACTGAATGCATTAATGCAGGCTAAACAAGTAGAGACAGAAAACACCTTTAATAACCTAAGAAACCCATCATATTCCGAATAACCTACCACAACTTCTTCCCTTTTTCATTATTTTTTACAGGAAAGCCTAAATGCTTTCATACATGTGAACTGAATGAACCTAGAGGCGATCTCTCTGTGATCATTACAAATTTAGGATTAATCTTCTGGTAAAAAGGTTATTAATCTGCGGGCCACGTGTGTTCCGATCTGTACGAATCACAGATCAACTGTGATCCATTAACACCCCTAATTATTATTAATGATTAAAAAAGCTGTGCTGCTTAATTTGTTTATGGAACATGGAATTTTTTTGCTATTTAGTACTTCTGATTTCCAAAGTGATTTCCAAAGTTTTTTATCATACTGTTTTTTTATATATATTATATAATTGAGATCCAGTTTTATATGTAATTTTGACAAAGAAAACTTGAAGATACAATGTATTTGATGAGAGCAGTTTTTAAGTAGATTATTGATATTTCAATAAAATCAATAAAAATATACTATATATATGGCAAATTGGTTATTGACTTTCCTTTACTCTGGTAATAAAGTCAGATCTTGTGTGTGATTTCCTCCCAGGTGGCGTGTGAATGGCACTGACATATCATTTGCTGAAGAGTCGCACTACACACAGGTTGCAGGAAACCTTGTGATCAACAACCCTCAGAATGGGCGAGATGGCGGCTCGTACCAGTGTCTCGCAATCAACCGATGCGGCACCATTGTTAGCCGCGTCGCTAATCTCAAGTTCGGCTGTGAGTAACCATTGTCCAAGTAGAAAACTGGGTCTTGTCTACTACTCGTGCTTGATTTATACTGTGCTTTCTTCCAGACCTGCATGATTTTCCCCCTGAGAGCAGAAGTCCTCAGACGGTCCATGAAGGAATGGGAACATTTCTTGCCTGCCAGCCACCAGCTCATTACCCAGGTAAACACACACACATATCAGTTAGCAAAACATTTCACTCTTTTTTTATTTCGTTAACTCTTGCATCCCTTCTGTTTGTTAGCTTTGTCCTACCGCTGGTTTATCAACGAGTTCCCTAACTTCATCCAGCCAGAAGCGGGCAGGTGGTTTGTTTCTCAGGTCACTGGTAACTTGTATCTTGCTAACGCGAGAGCCAATGACACGGGCAACTATTTCTGCTTCACCACCATCAACATGGATGTCAGCACCAAGAGCATCTTCAGCAAAGCTGTCCAGCTCACAGTTCACCCTGATGGTTAGTTCAAAGCCTTATATTTCCTTCAGCAACAAGCTCAAAAACTGAATCTTATTTTTTTTTTTTTTGCTGTGTTTCTTCAGCAAGCCCAAGGAAAACTGCTCCAAATATCCGAGTGCGTTTTCCCGCTGAGACATACGCTTTATCAGGGCAAACCGCACAGCTGGAATGCTTTGCCTATGGCAAGTAAGTCCCCCTTAACTCCTAGAGATCACTGCAGCATCGCTTTAACATAATCCATATCGCAGTCAGCTATAAAAATGTAACCATTTTTTCCATCATGCTCTCACTTTTACTTTTCCTCCTTTAGTCCGATTCCTAAAATCCGCTGGAGGAAGGTGGATGGAATTTTACCCCCTAAGGTTGGAACAAGTGTGGATGGGCCCATCTTGATTATTCCTGAACTGAATTTCGATGACGAGGGCATGTATGAGTGTGAGGTTTACAACTCAGAAGGCCGTGAGACGCATCAGGGACGTGTTTCTGTGCAAGGTAGGCATAGTATTAGAAATAGACAGAAATATAAATATTTTTCTCATGAACATTAAGTAGGGCAACACGGTGGCTCAGGGGTTAGCACTGTCACCTCACAGCAAGAAGGTTCAAGCCCCGACTGGGTCAGCTGGCATTTCATTTCCTCCAGGTGCTCTGGTTTCCAAAGGCATGCGCTATAGGTAAATTGAATACACTAAAGTGTCCATAGTGTATGTGTGTGAATGAGTGTCTAATGATGTTTCCCAGTACTGGGTTGTGGCTGGAAGGGCATCCGTTGCATAAAACATATGCGAGATAAGTTGATGGTTCATTCCTCTGTGGCACCCCCAAATTAATTAAGGGATAAGCCAAAGGAAAATGAATGAATGAATGAATGAACATTAAGTCGAAGCTTGATGCAATATAAACTTTGCGAGCAAGTGTGTTGTTGTTGTAGACAAAACTAAAATGTGGTCAGCGCAATAGCTTAGTGGTTAGCGCGCTGACATATGGTGCAGTAGCACGTCAGGGTGTCCCGAGTTCGAAACCCTGCTCGAGGAAATTTCCCTACCCTACCCCCCTCTCTCTCTCCAACTTCGCTTACTGTCTCAATACTGTCAAATCTAATAAAGTTTAAAAGGCCAAAAATAATTCTTAAAAAAAATGTGATTTTCATTTGTGTCTATTGTGTACTTGTATATAAAAGAATGGCCATATGTTATTATTGGTATGTTGAGGGGGAGTGAAGGTATAGAAGTTAGGGTCAACAATGCTATTAATTTGAAAATATATTTATTATAAGAAATCAATATAAATAAATCCAACACCTAATTGGGTTTAAATGAATTTAAAACGCCATATGGGACGAATTTATATCCCATTTTGAAAGTAAAAGATACTCAAATAGGTAGTGTAATCTACACAATAATAAGTGTGTGTGGTTGAGAGTGTGCAGTGATTCGATGTTGTGGTCCTGTGACTGCTGGTGTTGGCTGTTGTATGGTTAAATTTTCTGAAAGTTAAAGTAAATAGGTTAATTTAGATTTAAATGAATAAAAAAATTAATAAAATAGTATTCTAATATTTTGGGGTGTTTTTTGTGCGTTTGGGTGGGTTTTAAACAGCTTTTGGGCTGAAAAAAGTGTGCTATATTTGGCAACGCTGTTGACATCACCAACTTAGACAGTGTATTGTTTTACACTGAAAATATCAGTAAAAGTCACACCGTTATGTTTTTCAACATCAGAAAATCTAGGAGCAGCCCAGCAGGCACACAACGTCATAAGATGTTAATATTAGGCTAGCTAGTGTATAAGGGCAACATTATTTTGACATCCAATAAGGACATCAAATGACGTTGATGTTTGGTTGATTTTAAGGTTGTTTGAAAGTGACCAAAACCCAACATTGAGTCAACATCTTAAACCAATGTCAATGTCAAAATTGATGTCAAATGCTGACATTTATTCATCAGGTATGGCAACCGAAATCCAACGTCTGAAAGACGTTATAGTGGTAACGTTCACAATGTCAAGCTGTAGCATCATTAGATGTTAATATTTGGTGGATTTTAAGTTGGATGTCGGACATTGACGTTAACCTGACATTGAGTTCTGATGCCCAATTTTCATTTCCAAGAAAAATGCAACATCCTCCAATGTTAGGGTACAACGTCAGTCTGACGTCATGTTGACGTCCTGTGCCTCCTGGAAGAGACCAAGGTCCCATAATGCAACTCAAAAGTGTAAATACATGAAAAATATGAATGTACCACAAACTACAAGAATGTGTTAATTAATGGATGTTTCACAGTGCATATTTCCATTCATTCACACATTTCGAAGACACATTATCAGTAGTATCTACAATGAAACACAAAGAAACATTTTTAATGAAAACAAACTTATCAATTGCGAATATAAAATAAAAAAGATTAAAAAAAAAAAAACAGTAACACTAAAGCAATTCTGATGTACAAGCTGATTTGTGAACACTTCTTTTGGTAAAAAGTGGATGTTTGTGTTCTGCTTCCTCAGCTCAGCCGGACTGGCTTCAGGTCATGAGTGACTCTGAGGTGGAAATCAGTTCAGAGCTGCAGTGGAGCTGTGCTGCAGCGGGCAAACCCAGACCCACCATTCGCTGGCTCCGTAACGGACACGCCCTCATTACACAGGTCTGCCACACAAAAACACATGCTTACACACTCAAACTCACACACAGACACACATACACTCTCTCTTACATTTGCTGGCTTAGTAACTGACAGGCTGTCATCACACAGGTTTGCCACACAAAAACAAACATGCTTACACACACTCTCTTGCTTCACACTGGTCTGCCACACAAAGACAAATGATTACACGCACACACTAACTTTCGCTTTCCTCATAACAGGCAGACAACCTCTCAAGTCCCAACATACAGGTCTGACACACAAAAACAAACTCATACGCACACACACTCACTTTCACTGACAGTTATTTTCTCATCTCATAAAATAGGTCTGCCATACACACACTTGCCCACACATACTGTACATATACACACTCTCACACTTGCTGGCTCCATAACAGACAGCTCCTCATCTTATCACACAGGCCTGCCATACACACGCACACATATACATACACACAGAAGACCGCAGCCGGATTGTTATCTGACAATGTGTGTGTTATCAGAAATGAACAGGACCTCTAGCTGTCAAGACTCAGACTGATATATGCTAACAAAATGCTTAAAAAACTCTTTATGTCTCCGAGGCAGTGATATATGCCTTTCCTCAGCTGGAGCTAGATTGACTGGAGAAATGTTGTGTGGCCCTCTGCTGGTGCTCATGTGCATCTTCATCATATATATGCAGGATCGTGTTGAAGTGAATAACGGCCGGCTGAAAATCGCTAATCTTGCCCTGGAGGATTCTGGGATGTATCAGTGTGTGGCTGAAAACAAACACAGCACCATTTACTCGAACGCTGAGCTCAGAGTTCAAGGTGAGCGCAAGACAATCTCAGCATGAAAACACATCGGAAAATATAGTTGCATAAACACTGACTGTGTCTTGTTGTGTATGTTAATACACTTTAAACCCCTTTCTGCCAACCCAGCCATGCCTGAACCCCAGTTATAGTATAATCAGTGGTTAAATCCTCTTTGTGTGGTTACCCATTTCCCGTCCTGCCCCGTCCTGTCACCCTCTTTCAGTCCAGGCTCCAGACTTCAGGCTGAATCCAGTACGGAAGCTGGTTCCTGCTGCCCGTGGTGGACAGGTCAAAATGGAGTGTAAACCTCGGGCAGCTCCCAAACCCACTCTCTTCTGGAGCCGCGGCACAGAGTTACTGACTAATAGTACAAGGTAATACAGTAATCAAGTGTTTTAAAGGCCTCCAGATGTCTTGATCGATCAGATAGAGGGGAGCTGTAGATGATTTTAGTAGCAGTATGGTGTGTATGAACTCTCTTCAGGATAACCGTGACTCCGGATGGGATTTTGTGGATCTACAATATCAGTCGTGCTGATGAAGGAAAGTACACCTGCTTTGCAGAAAATTACCTTGGCAAAGCCAACAGCACTGGACACCTGTCTGTCAGAGGTAATAAAATCTTATTTTTTTAATTAAATTTTTTTTTTCACATTCATTCACACACATGCACTATGGCCAACTTAGCTTACCCAATTCACCTGTACCGCATGTCTTTAGACTGTGGGGGAAACGGGAGCACCCGGAGGAAACCCATGCAAACATGGGGAGAAAATTCAAACTCCACACAGAAATGCCAACTGACCCAGCCAAGGCTCGAACCAGCCACCTTCTTGCTGTGAGGCGATCGTGCTACCCACTGCGCCACCTTGAGGCCTTATTATAACAAATTTATATAAAAATGTAACAACGCTCCCAGTATAACTTTCTTTCTTGTATTTATTGACCTGACCTGTACTTATTAAAATGTATGCTAGTGTCATTCAGATCATTTAAATTATAAAACAATTAATTTGGCAAATTGTTTTTACATTTTCAAATCTAGTGGTTTTAATGATAGTAGATTGAAAAATGATAATTAATTATTTTTTTAACTGCACTATGATCTTAAATAAAGTTAATTATTGTGTTTGCAACTTATTATTAGAAAATAAGCTTGACATGATTTTATTTGTTGTTTCTAAATATTCTGGTAAAAATATACACTACCAGTCAGAAGTTTAAAGGTCAGTTTGATTTTTACATTTTTTAAAATAGGCATTTATTTAATCATAAACATATTACAAATTGAAAAATTGCTAAATGTTATTGCACTTTAAAATAACTGTTTTAAAAGTAATTTCATTTAATCATTTATTCCAGTGATTTAAATAATGGATTTTCAGCTTCATTACTCCATACTTCAGAGTCACATGATCCTTCAGAAATCACTCTAATATGAAGAATTATAATAATAATAATAATAATAATAATAATAATAATAATAATAATAATTATTATTATTATTATTATTATTATTATTATTTATATTATTATTATTAATGGTATAGTAATAAAAGCAATAATGACTGGAATAATCATTTTATTTGAAACTACATACAATAAGTAATAAATAAGTATTTAATAAATGAGTATTTAACAATGTAAAAAAAATACATTTGATAAATGTTGCCCTGATGAACAGAATAATTTTATTTTACACTTTGGGAAAAAAATGGCACATAAACTGTTTTTTATAGGGAGAGGTTATTAATGGTTAAGCAAAATTTGTATCTTCTAGACACACCTTGGTTTTTCAACTTAGTTTGCTTTCATGTAAACACCTTTATCAGCTATCTGATGGCATATGAATTGCTACATATCTTCTATTTTGTCTTGATATCAAGTTAGAGTTTTTTTTTTTTACTCGATTACATGGACTCTAATACACTGATAACTCACAAGATCACCTCACTTAAATAACATGTTGTGCTAGATTACATGCAAACCAATAAGTAAAACCTGTTTGATATATTTTATTAATTTATCAGTTTGATTTCCCCACAGTGATTTTGAAAACAAATCATTTGTATATCTAACAGTTGAGAATTTAATTTGTTATGTTGGTTGTCAAGATAAATAAATATTTACAAACTGAAGAAAAGTACTGTAACACTGGAAAACTTACATCTCATATTCCATCACATTTTGATTGTATCTTCTTGTGCTGCATGTGATAAGAACATGTTTATAAAAAAAGAGTCAAGTAATCATGAAAGAGTCTGCATGTAAACAAATTAAGACCTCTAAAATTATCATTTTAAGTAGTCATCAGCAAGTCATTGATGATACACATTGTTTTTAATTTTGTTCATTCAAACAGATGCCACAAAAATCACACTAGCGCCCTCTAATGCTGATATCAATCAGGGTGAAAATGCCACTTTGCAGTGCCATGCATCACATGACCCTACCATGGACCTCACCTTCACCTGGTCACTCAACGGAGTTCCGCTGGACCTAGAGGAACCAAATGGACACTATCGGCGAATGGAGGGGGTGAGCACTTCTTGTCATTTCTCCAGGTGTTGTCCTGAAGAATAGATACAAAAGAAGTTTAAAAGGCTTATTGAACCCCTCTATAGTGTCATTTTTCACCATCAAATTAAAATGACATAATATTTCTGATTCAGCATGTCATGTTTTTTCCATGTTCATACAGGTCAATTTGTTGCAGATGTTTTTTATTTAGACTTATATTTAAACATATCATTTAAGCAGTATTTTTATTATGATTACTATTACATTCAGACTCAAATAATGTTTATTTAGTGTGATTGTAGTATGTGTTCAATGTGTTATTAGTTTAATATCAGCTGACAATGATTTAATAATCATAATGTTTATCCCATTCTTGTGGTCACCAAATCTACATTTATTTACTTACAAATACAGTTCAAGTGGTAATATTGGGAAAAAAATTACTACAATAAAAGAAAAAAACATGTGCATTGTGCAAACCATAATATTAATGTGCATATTCTTCGATGAACAAATAATAATAATAATAATAATAATAATAAATACTTACATTTATATATGCAACGGCAGCCATATTGCGCCAGACCGCACACCACACACCAGCTGATGAGAAAGACTGATGAAGCCAATTATGATTTGGGGATGGTTAGAAGACGATGATGGACAGAGGCCAGTTGGCAAATTTGGCCAGGATGTCAAGGTTAAACCCCTATTCTTTTTCTGAGAACATCATGGGATTTTTAATGACCAAAGAGAGTCAGGACCTCTGTTTAATGTCCAAAAGACTGTGCTCACTGAACAGTATAGAGTTCCCATCAATATACTGGGGCATTAGGATCCATACAGACTGCAGGTTGAGTGCCCCCTGCTGGTCTCACTGAAAATGTAAAAGAATATGTCTACTGTCTTTCACTTTTGATCAGTTTATTGTTTATGTGCTAAATAAAATTATTAATCTATTTTGAAAAATCTTTCTTATTAAAATATTTTGAACTGTAGTCTGTGCAGTTTGATTGTTGTACTGCATTCTTTTTTCAAAATGTATCGTTCCAGACTGTGAATATGAAAGTGAGCAATGCTAAAAACACAGCTATTCCCTGATAACCAACTACAATACACTCACTTACTTCAGTAAATGTGAACATAGTTATGTTCTTAATGTTTAAAATTAGCCAGCTTAGTCAAACCAGCTGAATTCTTATTCCAATATAAGCAGTCTCCTCTCACTCTCTGAGATTAGCTTTAATAGGATTCACTTCAAAGTAAATCCCTTTCAGACACGATATTATATATACAGTCCATTTCACAAATTCAAATTCAGCCTCTACAGATTAAAAAAAGCATGAGATAAATGCTCTTATGAAGCTAAAGTGGGCAAGTACTCTTTCCAAATAGACTTTACTTGTCTTTTCTCTGCACAGAAAGAGACGATCGGTGACCTGGTGATAGTAAATGGACAGCTCAGTCATGCTGGCACATACACCTGTACAGCCCAGACGGTGGTGGACAGCGCCATGGCCTCGGCCAAGCTGGTGGTGAGAGGTGAGGGTTTCCAGCTGGCCAAAACACGACAGAGACCTTATTAAACCTTGCTTCACCAGGCCGCAGTCTGTTCAGCTTGATCATTCTTTGGCCAAGCAACTCTCGGCACTCGGCCCTGTAACATAGAGTCATGAAAAATCTCAATTTTGCTGATCCATTTCTTCAGGGTAAACAATGTTTACACTTTACTAATATTGGCACCCCTGGTAAATATGAGCAAAGACAGCTGATCTGTCTTGATCATTTAAACTATTAATTAATTGCTCAAAATATGAAAAAAAAACTCTCCTCCCATTAAGAATAACCAAAAGCAGCCCGGTTTTATATAGAAACATGTTACACAATTATTGGCACCCCTCTACATTTGTATTTGCATGAACAGATCATTTTTCATCACATATTTTCTGTATATACAGTTGAAGTCAGAATTATTAGCCCCCCTGAATTATTAGCACCCCTGCTTATTTTTTCCCCCGTTTCTGTTTAATAGACATTTTTTCAACAAATTTCTAAACGTAATAGTTTTAATAACTGATTTCTAATAACTGATTTATTGTATCTTTATCATGATGACAGTAAAGGTGACGCAGTGGCGCAGTGGGTAGTGCTGTCGCCTCACAGAAAGAAGGTTGCTGGGTCGTTGATTCGATCCTTAGCTCAGTTGGCGTTTCTGTGTGTGGAGTTTGCATGTTCTCCTTGCGTTTGCGTGGGTTTCCTCCAGGTCTTAATGTGGTACAGGTGAATTGGGTAGGCTAAATTGTCCGTAGTGTATGAGTGTGAATGAGTGTGTGTGGATGTTTCTCAGAGATGGGTTGCGGCTGAAAGGGCATCCGCTGCGTAAAAATCTGCTAGATAAGTTGGCGGTTCATTCCGCTGTGGCGACCCCGGATTAATAAAGGGAATAAGTCGACAAGAAAATGAATGAATGATGACAGTAAATAATATTTTACCCGATATTTTTCAAGACTCTTCTATACAGCTTAAAGTGACATTAAAAGGCTTAACTAGGTTAATTAGATTAACCAGGCAGGTTAGGGTAATTAGGCAAGTTATTGTATATCGATGTTTTGTTCTGTAGTCTATCGAAAAAAAATTAGCCAAAAGGGGCAAATAATTTTGTCCTTAAAATGGTGTTTAAAAATTAAAAACTGCTTTTGTTCTAAGCGAAATAAAACAAATAAGACTTTCCCCAAAAGAAAAAACATTTTATATATACCCATACACTAAAGTATTTGTTTAGTTAATTAGATTAGATATCAATAATTAATGAATGACAAAATTGCTTCTCAATGTTTTTCTCCACAGGCCCACCAGGCCCTCCTGGAGGTTTAGTGGTGACTAGTGTGAACGACACATCGGTTGAGTTGAGATGGAGCCGTGGGTATGATAACCACAGTCCCATTGGCAAGTATGTCATCTTGGGCCGCTCGTCACAGACTCATGACTGGAAGAGGATGAGGACAGGTGAGGTTACTCTGAAATAGTGACACCGTATTTCTATGTAGAATTACATTTCTATATAGAATTAAGCGAAAAATTATGGTTTCTGGTTTTAACAGTTTTTATTTAATTTGCAAAATTAATAGATTACAATTTAATACTTAAGGTGTTTTATGTAAATTTCTATAATTTATGATTTTTAATTAATGTAATGTAAACAAAGTGTAATGTTTGATTATTGAATTGTATTTTAATACCAACAATATCTATTGCATTGTTTTTGTTAAATATATGCATTTTTAATTTTGAAATATGTTAAATGTATTATAATTAATGTATTTAATGTATAATATAATATTATTATAATATAATATAGTATAATATAATAGTATTATTATTATTTTATATTTCTTTCTATTTTAATATGGTAATAATATATTAAGATATATTTTATTAATTCTTTTTTTATTCTCTTTTGTTTTGGTATCTTTATATTTTTCTAGTCTATTTTTCATTTATTCACTGTTACAGCCACTTTTCTGAATGATTGAACTAATCATACAATTACATGCATACATGTATTTGCTTGCTTACTTTACCCCATAAACTGCCTAAAGAAAAGCTGCCCAGGACACTTGTTTGAAAAATATAGTAGTATTATGACATCATATATAATGTTACCCTTAGTAATCGAATGCATACCTTTCATTTTGTGCTAATGCTTCCTCCAGACCCTGCAAACATAGAAGGAAATGCTGAATCTGCACGTGTGATAGATCTTCGGCCCTGGATGGATTATGAGTTCCAGGTCATTGCCAGCAACATCTTGGGCAGCGGAGAACCAAGCATGCCTTCCCCGCGTGCACAAACCAAAGAAGCAGGTCAGGACCGTTACACTTTTATTAGTGCTAAATAAAAATCCAAACAAACCGATGATAAACTATTATTGTGGTTCCAAACAATAACAAACTTGATTGATAGAAGGGTAATATTTTGTGTTACAGCACCAACTGTGGCTCCCAGTGGACTCGGTGGAGGTGGAGGAAACCGTAATGAACTTATTATTACATGGACTGTAAGTTCTATTTGTGTAATTTGATGTTAGAAATGCTTAATACTTTTTACTCTGTCCAGTATTTACACATTTTTCCTTGTGCCCCATGATGCCTAGCATGAATTATAGTTTCAACAATGTTTTAAACAACTGGTTTCAATGAGCTGTCATTTTTCCCCTCAAAGTCCTTCCATTGATTATTAAACTTATTAGAATGAACAAATTGCTTTCAAACCTGAAAAAAAAGTCTTTCTGCAAAAATATTACAGTTGTTTATTGAAAATCACTGCACCGCAAGGTCATTATCGTTTGCTTTTTTAAATAAATGTTTTTATTTCAATACTGTTGTTAAATTTGCTGTAAATCTCAGTTTCGTTTTTGTTTGCTTCATTAATGGTTTTGTTAGTTTTAGGTTAGCTTTTATTTTGTAAACACATCCCTATTTATATTTATATATTTAGTTTCAGTTTTAGTTTTAGTAATCATTCACCTGACTGGTGTTTAGCTGTAAAAGTGCCATAAAACAGATGCAGGTCTGCTTATTATTTCTAAAATAATAAATTATTATTTTTTTTAAATTATTATTAATTTTGTTAATTTAAAAAAAAAAAATATATATATATATATATATATATATATATATATATATATATATATATATATATATATATATATATATATATATATATATATATATATATAGTCTTAGTTTTAGTTTTTATTGACTAAAATACCCTTGCTGTACTGTAGGGAATACAAAGAGAAAATAATCCAGAGAAACAAATACAGTGAACTCAAAACAGCTTTGTCCACAGATAAGTTTGTTACATTAATGTCACATTCAAATAGCAAGCGTAATATTGTTTTCATGACTGTAAGATTAGACTTCGTGCTTTATATTTATCAGAGTATATTGATTATTTTTTGCACAAACTTAATGTTTCAAATGATTTGTTTTAATTCATTTAAATATACGTTCCTCAACCTGGAAGTGCAACCAGTAATTTGAAACACAGTATTCACATTTGGGAAAAAGATGTGTAGAATTGCAAACAGAAGGTCAATAGATGTGTCTTTATTACCCTCAACAAAGAAATTAACATTTCTGCTGGTATGCATCACAGCCCATGGCCAGAGAGTATCAGAATGGAGACAGTTTTGGTTATATCCTGGCATTCAGAAAGCAAGGCATACCAACATGGACGGTGGTGAAGGTGCCAAATGTGGAGTCATCTCGATATGTGTACAGCAATGACAGTCTGACAGCATACTGCCCGTTCGAGGTCCGAATCAAGGCCTACAACAAGAAAGGAGAAGGGCCCTTCAGCCAGATTGCTGTAGTACACTCTGCGGAGGAGGGTGAGGGTTATTACTGAGGATTTTATTTTTATGGATATAATTATAGAATTTATTATATTCTGATTGAATGTTACTTAACCCCTAAAGGGCAGACATAGGAGATTACCTAATTAAAAGCTTAAATTGTTTCAAGAAAGCAAAATTATCACATTTATTTAAATGATGTTATTTCTTTTATACTATGAAATGCCATAAAGGTCTATCAATTGACTGGTTAATTTACATTAACTAGATCATTTAAAAAAAAAACACGCACACAAATTTTGATTTAAATGAAATGTTAATGAAATTGTTTTCATTTAAATTGAGAGATTTCTGTATTTCCATTGAAATTATGTTGACCAAAAATGCATGAATCAAGCAACTATTTTTTAAATAATTAAAACAGTTTTAATAATTGTTATTTTCTATTATATATTTATATTTGAATATAATTCTAATATCTATTAATATAGATAAAATCTATAATAAATATATTAAATTTAATATCTTTACTGTCTGTATTGTAAATGTTGACTTTTTTATTGAATTTAAGTAAAGTATGTATCTTTTTTTGTGAATAAAGAAAGTGTATTGCAATGATATAATCAAATCTGAATGCTAGCCATCATATTTTTAAATAATCCATACAAATCAAGGGATTTAATCCAAGTCTTCTGAAGAGACACAATATCTAGACTGGTTGTAAAACATAAAAAAACCTGAACCCAAACAAACTTAATTGGTTCTTGCAGAAGCTCATACACACCATGTGATGCAAGAATAAACCTCAATGGTTCTCGAGCATCAAGCAAGCATATTTGAGCTTCAGTGACCAATCCTGTTCGCTGATTTCTTGACCTTATTCTTTGTGTACGAGTGGGCGCAGCCATTTGAATGTCTTTGGCTCGAGACTTCTGGTCTTATTCACTTCCATTCATTATTAGACATTAAAAACAGCTTGTTATACTGTTGATGATGCCAATTGATATTTTCTTGTTATATAATTCTGCTTCGGTTGTATAGTCATGGACACACTTGTTTGTAGAGCAAGTAAATCGTTTTTTGCCGTTTATTATTCCTAGTCATTTCTTCCATAGGCAACTGAATTGGAAGTTGTAAAACAATCGCAAAAACAAGCACACTTACGCATTGAAGAATAAGGGCAATATGCGATTAAACGACTAGATTAAATCTGTTGAAATTTTAAAATGGTTGTTGTTGATCTGTTGTTATTAAGTATTAGAAATTTTTGTATAAAAATATGTTTAATGGACAGGCATAAATCACTTATGATTAAATAGATTTGATTTAAAAAATATACTAATTTGTCTTCCAAAGAAGTTTTATCTCTATCGAGGCTTAGATATTTAATTCTCGAACCAACCCACATTTAAATATTCAAGGAGCCTATTTACTGTTGAATTACAAAGATTACAGAATTAGCAACCAAAAGCACTTGTTATATTGTGCAGCATGTGTCAGAACATAATACTGTGTTTGTTAATGAATAAAGAGTTGATGCAAACTTTATTATAGCCAATATCAACCACGCAACTCGTGTAATCTGCATGTGAAGAGGGCGTCAGAGCTGTCAAAGACAAGCTTTTTATTTGATATAAAAAAGTTACCAGTCTTATGAGATTAAATAAAAAGATTAAACGATTAGCAAATATGCTGTTATCAGTGCAATCCCTCATCCATTCGTAACTGATTTCTTTTGATTTCTGCTCTTCCTTTAGAACCTACAGTTTCTCCTCGACGGATTAATGCCACTGCTTTGACTGCATTTGAGATTCAAGTGTCCTGGGAGCCCATTCAACACCTCAACATTAATGGAGTTCTTCGAGGTTACGAGGTCAGGACCAGCACATTGTTTAATATCTGTCTTTTATTTATTAGTCAGTGGACTGATGATCATAAATAGCATAACAAAGTTGACGGGTGTTTTGTGCATCATTGTTGGTCATCTGAGGTGGCACAGCTGGATTTGTGAGCTTTGCCCGTTGGCTGAGCGTGTAACAGAGGCGCTGTTATCTCATTAGCTCCTTTTTATGAACAGCAGGTTTAGATCAGATCAAGGAACATGAAACACATTATTTAGATAAGACACACTCCTTTAGATAAAAACAGCCTTTGAAATTCCCTTGTATTAAAGGGTATTTTACCCTTGCAATTAATATTTAATTAAATAGGCTAGTGCCTTTCAGAAGTAAGCTTTCAGAAGCAAAATGTGATTTAATTTGCTTTATACCCCTTTTGGATATTTAAAAAATTGTCTTTTTCAGTTGCCTTGAAAATGAAAGTGGTTTATGTGATATAAGTTTATATGTATATATATATATATATATATATATATATATATATATATATATATATATATATATATATATATATATATATATATATTTGTTTTTGTTTTTTTTTACAAAAGGGAAGCTTTTAAAATGCATATGGACTGAAAATGTTGTTATGAGCTGCCCACATGTAAATAAACACAAATACCTGCATGAGGCTATATAGTTATGCAATTACAGTACATATTTGCGATTTTGTAGTCATGTTAAACATTTTGCATTTACTGTAAAAATACTGGGTTCCTCACAATTTCTTCATGTTGTCCCAACACAAATCGATTAAGTTAACTTTAGTCATTCATTCATTTTCTTTTTGGCTTAGTCCCTTTGTTATTCAGGAGTCGCCACAGCGGAATGAACCACCAACTTATCCAGCATGTGTTATTATGTAGCAGATGCCCTTCCAGCCGTAACCCAGCACTGGGAAACACCCATACACTCTCATTCACACACATACACTACAACCAATTTAGCTTATTCAGTTCACCTATACTGCATGTTTTTAGACTGTGTGAAAACTGGAGCATCTGGAGGAAACCCACGCAAACACGGTGAGAACATGCAAACTCCACTCAGAAATGCCAATTAACCCAGCTGTGGCTCAAACTAGCGACCTTCTTGCTGTGAGGCAACAGCGCTACTCACTGAGCCACCATGTCACCTTTAAGTTAACTTAATTGTTTTTATTTTTTTACAAATTTAAGTGGATTGAACATAAATCAAATTTTTGTTTTAACTCATTTATGTACAGTAAGTAGTTTGAACAAACAGCACAAGTAATTTTTTGAGTTCTCAGGTACTGTCAGAATTTGTTTTTAAGTTAGCATTCAGCTGGAGAGAATCACTGTTTTTGAGTGTCAAAATGTTTGTTTTACACTCGGTTTACTCACTTTTATATCTTGTTTAGTGTTGAATTC